TCTTGTTAAGTAAATGTTCTGCAGGCTTACAAAGGCATTTCTCTAAACAGTGGTATCTCCAAAGTCCTTGTTCCAACGTATGTATGCTTCTAACGTTTGAGGACTCATGCTGCGTTTTATTTTTTTCAAGGATTCAGTGAAGTCAGATAATCGAATATTTCGCATCTAGATTTTTGAAAAACACATGACATACAATGAACACATATACAATAGTGGATTAAACTAATGGTGTAATGTCATAAATACATAGAAATTTTAGTCATACCAATCATTTTAATATTTTTGTACTAGTATAAATGAGGCAAGTTTGCTATATAAGACACTGTATAAAAAATAATCCAGTAGTTACTTTATTACTCGTATTTTATTTCGTAGGTACTGGATTTTCTTTTTATCTCCTTTTAGTAACTGTGGACTAAATTCAGGACTTCACACACACAGAGAAAACACTCTAGTACTGAGCTAAAGCCCCAGCCTTTTAAATATCTTATTTATGTATGTATGTATGTATGTATTTATTTATTTATTTATTTGCAGAACCGGGGATTGAACTCAGATCCTTGCGTTTGCCAGTCAAGCGCTTATCCTACTGAGCCATCTCCCCGGCCCCAACATTTTTTTTAAACAGAATAAAAATAGTAAAACCAAAACCAAACAAACAAAAAAAAAATTAGAAATGATACAGAATTTCAGTTTCACTGAACAAAATAATAGGAATTCAACAATGGTTGTCATATTGCAAAATGTTGTCTTCAAATTAGTTGTTCAGATTACCAGATACAAGCATGCAAAATTGGTAAAAGAAAAATAAAAAAATAAAAATTTTAAAAAAGGGGAAAAATTTAAGCATTAGACTAGTAAAAATCAGCAGTACAATTATCTAACCTAACTTGTATATATACATATTAATATATCCTTTTCCCTTCTTTCTTTTGTCCTTTTCCTCACCCCAGTTGTCCCTTCCCTGTGAAGAGATTCTTTCCTTTTCATACTATCTATTGTACCTTTCAGATTTTATTTACTCTTTCAGGTTCTTACACTAGCAAGACAATATGATGTTTATACATGTGGATCTGATTTATTTATGAGTATGGTCTGTCGTTGCATCCATGTACCTATATAATTGTGGTTTTTTAAAAATGTATTTAGTACAGGGTCTCACTACACAGATCAGGCTCGTGGTGATCTTCCTGTTTACAGCCTCCCAAGTGCTGGGATTACAGGTCTGTGCCACCACCCACAGTCTCAATCACTGTCTCAGTGTGTCTATGGAGTGGGACAGCACGGCAGGCCCAGGGATCAAACCTCCAGCCCCTGCGTCTGCCTAAGCAGGCACTTTAATCTGCTGAGCTACTTGGCCAGCCCTCCATGTACCTATAAAAGACTCAAGTTTATCTTTTTTTTTTTTTTTTAAATAACTGAGTAATAGTTCATTGTGTAAAAAAATACTGCATCTTTTTTATCCAAAGTTGATAGGCATTTCGGTTGTTTCTAAGATTTATCTATGACAAACTGTTATTTAAATTTTTTTTTTCTTAGGCTGGGTGTGGTGGCACATAACTGTAATCCCAGCATTTAGGAAGCTGAGATAGGAGGATCATCATAAATTTGAGGCTAGGGCCAGCCAGATAGCTTAGCAGACTAAAGCACTTGCTTAGGCAGAGTGCAGCAGCTGGTTCCATCCCCAGTGTGTGGTGCTGGCCCCGCCCCTGGGGCATGTTGAGAAAGTGATTGAGACTGGGTATGGTCGCGTGCACCTAGAATCCCAGTGCTTTTAAAATTTCAAAATATAATATTTTTTCACTATAAAAAGAAAACACACCCACAGGAAATTTCACAAAATAAAGACAACAGACAAAATAATCTCTCAGAATTCTACAATTCAGATGTACAACTATTATTTGATGTCTTGCCAATCTTTTTGTAGGTAATTTTGGAATCAAGGCTCTTATAATAAGTCTTATCACAAGCATACTGTAGCTAAATTCATGCAAAATTTGTTAGAAAAGCAAAGTACAAAAACACATGAAACTTTAAAGGAATTATTGCTCTTTAACTGCACTGCATAGTAGACTAGGCTCAAATCCAAAATTTTCTAATATTAACATTGTTTATCAGACCAATGTGGCTGCACATGCCTATAATCTCAGCACTGAGGAAGGCTACAGCCAGAGGACTGTAAGTTGTACTCTTGCCTGGGCAACCTGGTGAGACTACCTTAAAATAAAAAGGGCAGAAGATGTAGCTCAGTGCAAAAGTACTCCAGGGTATAATTCTCAGGACTTTTTCTTAAAAAAATAAGATTAGCTGGGCAGGATGGTACACATAGTACAAACCCAGCACTCAGGAGGCTGAGGCAGGAAGATGATTGCCTGGGGTTCGAGACCAGCCTGGATTAGTGAGTTTAAGCCCAGCCTGAACTGCATAGCGAGACCCTGTCTCAAATACATACATAAGTAAGTTTATAAAGCATTTTAAATTAATTTGGTTTTAAGACATTTTAATCCTACCAATTTGATGTGGAAAAAAAAAAAGACATTTTAAATTGGCTTTGGAACTGAAGACTGTATATACTGAGTCAATCAATATATCTATCTAGGTATTATTTATTTATTGCTGCTAAGAATTGAACCCAGGGACTCACACATGTTAAGTACATCCACTGCCACTGAGCTATACACCTCGATCAATGGTGGTGAACCTGTGGTATGTGTGCCCCAATGGGTTGTTTGTATCATTGAAAGCACTAAAAAATTTGCTATTAGTGTGTTAGACCTAAGTATTTTATGGACAAAATTTCATATGACACAAAAAAAGACCTGTGTTAATAACTGTTATCAGTGTATATTTTTATGGAAGGACCACCTGGACACTCCTCTTGAAAGAAGAGCAATTGTCTCCATTAGGCTAAACCTGGCCCTATTTCCATGTATTGATCCATTTTCACAGTCACTCATCCCTGAGCCACTCTCCTCTTCACAAATGAATAAAACCAGGGTTTGGCCCTGAGGCAAAGCCATTGTTCCAGTTAGCCATCATTTTAGTTGGACTTAGGATCCCCTTGGCTCCCCACAACTACAAATATGCCTTTGTGTCTTTTCTGCACCACACATTGCACTGGAAGAGGTAGGCTGGAATTAACTACTGGAATTTCAGTAATTTTTCCATGGTATATTGTTTGTGTCTAGCTGTTCCCCCAAAGCCTCATACAGTCATGGGGTGGACTTCTAGAGCTTATGATTAACTCATGATCCACAGGGATTATGGGTGTAAGCGCTGCTGGGATTATGCCTGTGAGTACTACACTGAGCCTGGGGCAGATCACCTGAATGCAATTTAAGAGAGACAAGACTTATTCTCTGTAGCCATTGTTTCTTTTCTTTTTTTGTATTTTAGGGAAGGGCCTACAGGGTGTTCAGGGTCTGATTAAAAGATCAGACTCGTAGTGATCCACCAGTTTACAGCTTCCCAAGAGCTGGGATTACAGGTGTGTGCCACCACACCCAGTCTCAATTGCCATCTCAGCGCCCACCCCAGGGGTGGGGCCCCCTTGAATCCCCAGCCCTTGGGCCTACTTGCATGGCTTTAATCCACTGAGATATTTGGCCGGCCCTTCTGCAGCCAATGTTGCTGATATTCTTCCTTTGCTCTTTGCTACCACGATGAAAGGCTGCTCTCTGCCATGCACCGCCCTGCCTTGGAGCCAGCTAAGTATGGACTGAAACCTCCAGTAATTAAACCTTTTCTTCCTTCATTTTGGGTGTTGAGCATCCCAGCAATGAGAGAAGAGTAAGACACACAGGATTAAAAATGTGGATTTTTGTGGACGTTCATGAGGTCCAGTAGGGCTTTCTATTTATCTTTGCTATATTTGGCTCCCAAATAAGAGAATTTTTTTTTTAATTTTATTTATTTATTTATTTATTTATTTGTGTGTGTGTGTGTGTGTGTGTGTGTGTGTGTGTGTGGCCAGCTCAGCCCACCAGGGGGCGGGCTGGCTGGCATGTGGTGCTGGGGATTGAACTGCGGTCCCTGGCTTTGCTAAGCTTGTTTGAAGTAGGTGCTTTAGACCACTGAGCCATCTCACCAGCCCCACCAAATAAGAGAATTTTAGACAAAACTTTTACTAGCTTCATTCATGTCCAACACATACTATTTATACTAGATTGTTAAAATGAGAAAGGAATCTGGTGTTATACCTCAGTGAGCACTTGTATGATATGCATGAAACCTGAAGTTCTGCCCCCAGCACCAGGAGAGACAAAGACACACACACACACACACACACACACACACACACACAGAGTGTAAGCACAAATGTAAGGGATTTTTGAATAATATAGCTGATTAACTACAATGTACAAGGTGCTTCATCAGATAACTGCAAGATTACCCACAAGCTTCAGGACTGTCAAAATACACTTCATACATTCATTTTCTCTTAACTATTCACTATCTCCTCAATGGCTGTTGAAACCTGAGCAATAAATATCTCTAATACATAAGTTATAAATATAATTCAAGTTTGATTTTAAAAAATTGTTTGAAGTTTTTACTTATTAAGCATTGTGCTCCTCCAATTTTATGTTCTCTACAAATTTTCCCTAAAGAAATGCTTCAGCATCTTCAGAGACCTTCTGTATTAAGAAAATAGCTTAATATCACAATAGTGATTGTATTGGTTTAATAAAAAGAAAAAATATCACTAAAACTAACAAAATAGAAACAATGGTTTAACCTATATCAGGTTATTTTTAATTTATGTATTTTTTGTTTAGTATTTATGTGATATGATTTCATAAAAAAATGACTTAATTGATATCCGACCAACCCCAGGCCCTGCGAGTGTGGGAGAGAGCTTCTGCTCTGTCCTGCGCCCACCCGCCGCTCCAAGCTCAGGCCCTCTGCCTAAGAGGCCTTTGCCCTTGTTATTCGGACCTCTCCCAGCTGGGCAGACCCAGTGCAGCCTGCCATCTGAGTAAGAATTGCTGCCCCGCTCTTGGGAGTCCTGCAGACCCACCAAAACACAACACTGGTGAGTGTGTGGTAGAGCTTCTGGACTCTTCACCCCCACTCCTCATACCCCTCTAGACCCAGCCCAGACCTAGCATACAGGCTTGAGGTAAAACCCTGCAGCTAAAGTCCCCTCAGTGAGACTAGGGTCA